GCGGACAGACGTGTCGTGGTGCCCTTGGGTCGCCTCTCCTGCTTCGGGCCTCGCTGGACGTGCAAACATAGGGTCATCTCCTATGCCTCGGCTGGATCTGAGGGAGCTCTTTGCTAGACGAAGAGAAAAGGATGCTGGAGGGTCTACACTACAGTATAAAATGTAATAAAACAAATGAAGATTTGACGTGGTACACGCCGCCGTCTGTGGTGAAGCTTAAATTTAGCGCAAGGTACTGCCAACGGACGGTGGACTGGAGTGGACGCATTGGGCGAAGGTCGGCCTGGTGGTGACCTAACGGCACTGGTGGCCGCACGGGGAGATAACGTCAGTCAACTACCACTCATCCATTCGCCCGGTTCAATCGTCGAAGAAGTGAAGAGAGGCTCCATGTCTCCCATAGACCCCGCATCGCCGTGAGACGTCAGACATCGCCAAAACTCTGCTGCGAAACCACCACCGCTGGCCGTTTCAGCCGCAGCCGCACCCGCGTCCATCTTCAGAACTTCTGTCTTCATCTCATCGCCATCGCCATCGCCATCGCATCACCAGTCACCGACCGTCGCTCAAAGCGCCTCCCTCCTTTGTCGTCAGCAGTCGCAGTCGTCGCTGCACTTCTTTGTTGCCCCAGTCACCGTCACGCAATGCGCCCTGTCCCCTCCTCGCGATGCCTCTGACCCTGACCACGGCCTCCGACCACTTCGATCCTGTACAGCACGCCTCACCTTCGTTTTCCGCTTCCATTGCCAGCGCCAGCCCTGCACCAGCACCGCCGTGAGATGCCGCCGCCAACCTCGCGCGCCAGTCCGCAGCCGACGGTACGTCTGCCTCCCACCGCGCCGCCAGCACCACCGCCTAACACGGCTCCGCTACAGGACGACGACTCCACCGCCCGCCCCAACACCCCACCTTCGTACCTTTCAGCCTTGCGCCAGCTCGAGTCCCCCGTGTCGCCCCAGGTCATCAACCTGGCCGCGACGCTGACAACTCAGGCCGAAAACGAGGCCGATGCAGACAACGTCAGCTTCCTGCGACGGCCCATGGACCCGCAGGACGAGTGGCGCCAGCAAAACGCAGCCGCGGAGGACGAGCTCTTTGAGGAAGTGCGCGCGGCCCGCGATCGTCTGAGAGCGCGGACGGTCGAGCTGCACCAACACGAGCAGGACACGCGCGATCGCCAGATGCGCCTGTCGCGTGTCATGGAACGCCTCGAACGACTGAACCGCCTTCACTTTTCCATGCCCTATAGCGATCGTGTGCCCCATCAGAACAATCTCTACGACTGGAGCCCTCCCACCGAGGCAGACACTCAGGATGAATTGCGGGACATGATATCAAACGAGGGGGCTCGGAACGTGCGTGAGCTCAGAAGACACTGGGAACGGCAGCAGAGGAATGAGCAGTCGAGGACATCGGAATCAAGATGGAGCTCCTCCGCGGCCCAGCCCTCGGAATCGTCCCTGAGGTCCACGCAATCGAGAAGACCACCGCGATTCTCTGCGAGATCGAGAGATAATATGCAGCGCTACATTACAGACCGCGACACTGCCCTTCGACCTACCCAATCTGGTGACCTGGGTCGTATACAAACAAGCCGCTACGGCTGGCACTCGTCGATAGAGCCGCGCCCTGCCGACCCGTCTGCGCGGGCGTGGACACCACCAGGGCCGTCCGCTGGAAGGGACAGAACTTGGGAGCGCGAATATCGGCGAGCCTTTCTCGAGAATCCTAGCAGCAATCCTCCGCCCTCGTCTCCATGGCTGGAGCAAACCATACGATACCTCTCCAAAATCCGAACTTCTGACAGCTATGAGGATAGTCTATTCCACGCAGTAGATGCGGGGTTTGTCACCAAGGAATTTTTCGGAGAGAACCACGAAGACTTTATACTCGATGTAGGTTCAGTACCTCGGCCTGCGGAAACATCATGGCTCGCTCCTGGAGCGGTATTTTCAGGGTCGCAGCATGCCACGACCGTCGCCGGGAGCTCTGCATCGTCATCTCAGACTCCGAGTACCACCGCAACGACCTTGTATCGTCTTCATAATAATGACCCGTCCATGAGAAGTATAATGCACAGCATCGATGCCCTGTCCGGTCAGCGGACCGACGATGCCAGGCCTCCGCACACTCAACACCAGCAAGACCGATGGCCGGTCAAGGTGACGATTCACGCCGTCGACTGGGCCAAAATGACGCTTTCCGCCACCATGGAAGCCTACAACGTGCCTTCACATCCGCCACAGTACCCCAGCAGCAGTCTCGACGCGTCGGCTCTACCGCGCCCCGGAACGCGCACTTCGAGCATCACGACATACCTGGAAGGCGAGATTCTCGATTTCCAGACCCATACGTTGTTGACGGAGAGTTTCAAGAGCAGCCCGGCAACAGACGCAACGTACTGGCGCAAACTGCCCCCGTTCGCCCACTTGCGTGATAACGACCTGATCCACAGCCTCGTCAGTCACGAATACGTATCCAAGCTCGCAAACGAGTGGATCCTGATGCGCTGGAAGGAGCGCTGCTTCGTCAAGTCGACGGGCGCTGCGCGGCAACAACAGCAGCCGTCGTCGTCCGCGACTCGCCCCTCGGTCGACGACGAAATGGTTGAGGACGGTTGCGGCCTCACCATCTCGGGCTTCTACTATGTTTGTCTAAGGCGTAGTGACGGTGCTGTTGAGGGCCTGTATTACGACCCCCAGAGCAGCCCCTATCAGCATCTCAAGCTGTCGCCGGTTGGTGGCGGCAACTTTCCTGTTTGGGGCTTCAGGTGAAGCGGCTTGTGAGATCTTTTTTCTGATGGAATGGGCGACGTGAGGGTGAATGCACTGGCTTGGCAGCGTGGAGCGCGATAGTCAGACGCTGGTCTGCGTCTTTCCAAGCGTCGACTCGGCATCGACATTGACATCGGCTATGTGGACTGGCATCGAGCACAGCACCCCTTCTCCCTCCTCCGTCCTTCCGCAAACCTCACTCGTCCTGCCATCCTCCAGTCTACTCGCTCCTCTTTCCCGGAGACTGCATCTTCATCGGCCACCTGTCTGTCTGCCGCATCGCATCGAGATACCCCGACTGCCCGCCACGGCCTAGCAGAATTGCCTTCCTCCGCATCTGTACCTCCTGTCCTTGCCCGCCCACTTACGGTTTTCGACCATCACATTTGTGTTCCTGCATCTCGCCACTCACCTACTGACACTTCGCTATACCTGTTTGGACACCACAGTGCTCGGCGATGTGGACGCTGGGTGGTAGATTGGCGGACGGCAAGGCGTGGAAATGTGTGTGCGGGCTGGTCAGAAGCAATCAGGAACTCAAGCGCCTGGTCAAGCGGTGATGAGAAAGACAGGCAGGCGGGTAAGCTGGCAAACGGATCGGCTGGTGGGCTAGCGGGAGGAGCAGGCAGGGGCCCCAATCCGCCTGTCATTGTGGCCTTTGTCCTTTTTCCCCCACCGGCTGGCTAGCCAGTCGTTCAGTTGTTTGGAAATCGCCACCAACGTGCGTGGGACTAAGAGAGAAGAAGAATAGAGCGCGCAGGACAGCATCGTGTTGACAGGCTAGCTGGGCTGGGCTGGGCTGGCTGGTTACCTAGGGACGGCCCATACGCTTCCTAGCTTGTACCTCTCGTACTGTACATACACCTACCTATACAATACCCCCTCAGTACCTACGTACGTACGTACTTGTACCTGTGCCCTGTACGCACCTCAGTACCTATTGCAGTGCTGCAGTAAGCAAGCAAGAAAGTATTCTATTATGCGCATCCTAAGACGAAGGACGTGGACTGTCGTTTCAAAGGGTTCAAGAAGCCGTTTGGTGACTAGGCGGAGGCTGTGTTGAGTGGATGTGACGTGATGCGTGCTCATCGTGGTGGGTGTGCGGTATGGTGGCTGGAAGAGAGAGGGAGGGAAAGGGGGATAGCTGAGGTAGGTAGGGAGATGTGTGGGCATGTTGTCGTAACCCGTCAATATCTACATGTATCCAACATCCATCCTTCCTCATCCATCCACCGGTATATCTACCTACCTACCTACCTATCTCCCTTGCGATTCAACGACCCGTCTATCCATCTAGTGTACCTTTGTTAACCCTTTGAACGGTGGACCCATGCATGCTATCCAACTCGACATCCGTCTACCGTCCAAAGCGTTGTTACGCGACAGTTGTGGCGTGAAGTTGTCAATCGAGCGACGTAACGCGGGACGAGACGGCCAGGCGGGACTGGTGGGAATTGAGTCGAGTGGAGTGCAGAGGGGTTGGGTTTTGGCAGCTGCTCTCTTCTTGTCTGCGCGTCTTCTGGTTGTAGAGAGTGTGATGATGATGGATGTGGAAGATTAGCTTCAACGGGCGGCTGAAAAATTCTCTGTGATGGTTTTCACTTGGGAGTCTAGATGGGATTGGAGTTTATCGTGGTACCCCAGCGCCTCCAGTTGTTTCCAAGATGGATTGGACGACGGCGCGGGTGGCGGCACTCTCTGTCGGCTCCCGTCGTGGTCATCTTCTGGTTCAAATTCGAATAAACAGCTTCCTTTTTTTGGGCCTTCGTTCTCTTCTTCTTGGTTCGCATGGAGGAGCAGAGAGTAGCGACTGCTCTCGTGGGAAATGGGGATGTCGCCGACTCTTCTTATACTGGTCTTTGAGTTTGCATTTCTCTCAGAGCCGGAAGCAAATCAAATCACCCGTGGCCCAGAAAAAACTTGACTTGCGGAGATGGCTTGCTGCCTCGCATCCCTGGTCGCCCTACTGTCGCTTTTTGAGCATCCATTTCAAGCGTTCTTCAACCACCTGGACTTGTTCCTCAAAATGCATCTAGACGCAAAGCATGATTCTTTCCGGCGAGATTCGGTAGTCTCGGGACACTGGGTGCCCTCCATGACGGAAGATCCTCGGCCAACGTCCGTGCGCGGCAAAAAAAGTCGCTTTTTCTCCACCACGCTTGCACGCCCAACAAACACTCCCACAGAACAGCGCAACAAAAGGGCAAAAAGAAATCGTGGGAATTGAGCCCAACGCGGGGCTTGAACCCGCAGCCTTAAGATTGCCTGGTATTGGTGCTGTTGCACAATACTAAGAGTCTTACGCTCTACCGATTGAGCTAGCCGGGCAGCTGGTGGAAGTTGGATGCTTCCGAGCTGTTGTTGAGATTCCGATGGGAGTTTTGGGTTATAAATAGGACTTGTTCAGTCCATCTGGTCCCCTTTCATAACGGGACAAAAATTCAAGATCCAGGGCCAGTTGTGTTGTTGTCGAGAGCGGGAGTTTAGCGCCGCCCGGTGCGGCCGACGACTCAAAGCGCTTCCGCGTTTCCACCGGTGTTTTGGACGACTCTGCGTGCGTCGGCTTCGAGCTCCGGGAACGCAGTGATGATCTTCTTGGCCAGAATGTCGCGGAACTGGGCGTAGGCCTCGCTCTTGCCCTTGAGATTCTGGTTCTTCTTTTGGACGACCTCCGCGAATTCGCGCGTGTAAATGTCTGGGTTGCGCCCACTCTCGACGTACGCGACGATTTCGGGCGGGACCATGAGCGAGACGTTGGAGGCCTGTCGCGAGAGTTGGAGGAGGTTGGCGAGGAGCTCGGTGCTGCGCGCATGTCAGCGTCGGGGTGATGAAGTGTATGGTCTGGTGAGATTTACATCTCCCGCTTCATCGCATCTTCGGTGTTTGTGCCTTGGAAATCGTGGACTTGGACGACGAGCTGGTAGAGGTTCTGGATGATGCGCTTCATTTGCACTGCCAATTTGTTAGTCGCGTCGCTTCCAATCTGACGAGCGCTCACCATCAATCGGTTCTAGGGTCGACACAGGATCGGGAGCCATCTTGATGAGACTTGACGGGTCGTAGGTCGTCCAACACTGCGAGCTGGTTCGACGTGTCGTGGTTAATTGAAGCTCTGGAGCTCCTCACCGCCTTGGAGCTTCGGCCAGTCAACATCGGGCCGATCCATCCCGGAAGCGTGGCCGACACGACGCGGTCGAGACGGGATGCCTCCTCAAAGCACATGATAATGACGACGTTCGACAACTTGCCAGCCTCGACCTCCAACGACTATCTCTTCACACGCCCTGGATCCCGTAGGAGCACCTCCGCTGTCCGAAACACCGTCAAGTGCGCGCCGTCCAGCAGCAATGCGCCCAAGCCCAGATTGACCTGATGCCATGCAACCGCTTCCGCAAAGGACGTCGAGCTCCCCTCAAGGCTCCGTTCCCAGCGCCCCGAAGCTCGCTACAGGCGTAGACGCGGGCATTACAACCTCCAGCGCGCGTCCCGTCACCACCTCCCGATCCGAGGCCAGAACAAATGGAGATGTCGCTTCGAACAAGGCGGCGGCGGCGTTTATTCGTCGCACCCTGTGCGCACACCATGTTTCGTCCAACATCCTTGCTGGTGGAGAAAAGGGCAAGACGTCCCAGAAGCCGCTGGATGAGCTATTGCCGCCGTTGACGAGCTCAAACGAGGTCGACTTGCAACTGTACGCCATCATCTCCGTCATCATCAAGGAGTTTGTCAACGCATGGTACGCCAAGATCACACCAGACCATGTATTTGTGGACGAAGTGATTCAAATCATTGCCCACTGCACGCGAGCGCTCGAGCAGAGGCTGAGGCAGGTGGATCTGGAAGCATTGATCCTGGACGAGGCGCCCCGGCTGGTTGAGGATCACATTGAAGGTGGGTGCCAACCACGACGACAACGAAGCGACTGCTAATCACACCTTCCAACAGCATACCGGACGTCGCGCCGAATATCTGAAAGCAACCCTCTGGCCTCGGATTACCGAAACATATACCACACCCTCAAACCGCACCCTGCTCTGGCACCAGTGCCATCCGAGGTAGATCCAGCCGCAATCTTGGAGCAGCAAGAAAATGAGGCAGCTTGGCGGCAGCTGCTGGTACAAGGAGTGTTGGCGGTGCTCTTGCCCACCGAGGACTTGGAAAATGGATGCCTCCGCGCATTGGTGGCCGAGATATTCTCGGAAATGATAATTGGCAACGGCGTAGGCAACAAGGTTTGCGAGCCGTGGCTCTTGTGGGAAGCTACCGAAAAGATTGCTCATGTCATTCATCCACGCGTGGCCGAAGCAGAAGCAAAGGCGCTTTCCAGCGGCTCAGCAAAGACGACGAGTCGCCTGGAGCAATTTGGCCTGCTCACCTCACCATCCGGAGACGCCGTCGAGCCACGCAAGCAAAAGAAACCCTGGAGCGGACAAGCCTGGTCCATTGGCGATCTCAACGCCCTGTTTTGGAGTATATGCCAGTACACGTTTTTGGCTTTTACGGCTTTGCGCGCCATCATCACGGCTCTTACACGATCGCCCTCGCTCCCTGCGAGATCTGTGGGTGGTGTGCACATGTCATCCCCCATGGACGCCAGCCGCCAGTCGCTGTGGAGCAATAATGCCGCGCCGTCTGCGACATTGGATGAGCCGTGGCCGGTACTCAGCATGAGCGCGTGGACGTGCGCCGCTCAGCTGCTCGAATTCAAGGCCCGGATGCCATGGCTCGCAGGCCTTGTATCGCTACTTCATTGGGGTGCAGTCAGCGGTCCGGGACAGGTGGGTGGCACAAACGGACCATTGGACAAGTAAGTCGGACTGTTTCTTTTCTGTCGTACTCCCCATCGCATTCGTTCGACTCTTTCAGCCCATGTCGCCGTTCCCTGTCTAGCTCCGCATGCTCTGAAGGTCACTTGACTTGGCTGGCAATCCATGTCGGCCTATCGAAGGCTGCAATCCCGGCCCGCGGTTTCATACCCTTATCGTCATGCATGTGGCCCCTGCCGCCCACAGGCGAATCGACGCGTCGAGGGCAAAGCAATGCAGACGACGCAAAATGCTCTACTGGCCCAAGAACGAACCTCTCTCCGTTCTCTCTAGCTTCCGATGCGCTAGGCCCGCAGCTCGCATGCTACAGCTCAACAAGACGAGCCCCGCCATCAATCCTGGAATTGGACTTTTCTCGCCAGGCAAGACGTGCCGTATGCGCCCGGCTGATCTGCCTTCCGCCCACTGGCATGCTCGGGACTGGCCGCTCTTTGCAAGGGGCTGCGGCCAGGAAGCCTTGTTTAACGCGAAGCCGCCTGGCATTGGACGCCGCCTACGCTTGGGACCGCAACCGCAATTAAGATGCGCACCAATATGAGTCCCCTCATGCGACCACGAGAGTGACATCAGACCATCTCCTCACAATGGACAAGAGCTTTGTTGGGCATCGCAGCGGGGAGTCGGCGGCCACTGTCCGATGCCTGTCTCACGTCAACATGGACTTGCCAATTGCGCTTCATGCCGTCTCGATCTCACCACCGGCAGCAGCTTCTCATACTGCCTTTGCAAACATCGTACGGACTCGTATGCGTCCGGCCGGGAAAATGATGGTTCAATTTGGCGCCGGACCTTTTGCCTTGGCGGACATTGCTCCTCGGACTGGCGATCCTTTCAACTCGCTTACCCTCTGGTTTCGCCGCGTCGCCCTTCCACGAGATCATTGATTCCAGACACAATTCTATCGAGGTCAAGACGTCACCGACTGCCAAAGAGTCAGGCATGTCCCGCCGCAGCACCAAAGAGGGCTAGTCCGGCGAGCGGCCAATACCGCTATTCCGGCTCTCGTTTCCCAGGCCTCGCATATTGATCCCAATCTGCCGTTGACCCCATTTTTACCAAATTTTCCCAGAATTCCGTCTTCGCTTCTGCAAATCTCTCTGTCAGCCATGCAGCATTGGTGCCTTTTTTATTTTTCATTTCCCTCTCGCATCCGCGGGAGTCGCGTCAACATTACTGCCCCCCCATGATGAGATTGGTAAAGTTTACTAACGCCATATGACCTTTGTGCACAGACTGCTATCCCACCACATTCGCGCGCACCTGCTCAACCCAGCGCTGCTCCCGCCCCTGCTGCGCACGTTGCGCGAAGCCCTCTTCCCCAACAACGCCCCGGCCCCGCCGCGCGTGGCGCCTTCGCCCGAAGAGGAGCTCGCCATCAAATGCAGGGCCGCGCAGGCCGTGCTGGCGGCGACGCCGGCGGCGGTGAGGCCTCGCTTGTTTGGCAGGGCCGGGGCAACGACGATTCCGTCGTCGACGACCTCCTCTGCCAGTACTCATGCTGCGGCGGCACCATCCTCGTCGTCGGCGTCGTCTATAGGCGACGAACGTGGAAGCGGGAGGGATGAGCCGCAGTCGGACGACGATGTCCAGAGGAGGCAGGTGGAGCGCCTGCTGGATGTGCTGGGCGACCCGTACCTGAACAAGCACCTCGTCTTTGGGCTGATTGAGCTGGTCGTCGTGCGCCTGCTGCCCGAGCTCGGCGAGAAGGGCGTCGACGCGTTGATGGAGGAGCGTTTGGGGTACAATCTGTAGGTGGGGTACCAAGGCGCCCGTAGTTGCTGAGGCGTAGGTGTTCATCGTTGCTCCTGACCATCCTTCGCGGCGTATGCTCTTGCTTGGGTAGTTGATCAGTTGGCTTCTTCTTGTTCCCCTTCTTCGTGTTTTCTCTTCGTTGAATGCCCGTGGGTGGCTTGGGGCACAGCATGGCATGGCGTGGGAGTCATGGCATAGAATCACATGGCATGGCGTTGCGCGGCGTAGTGGTTGTGGCGTGGCGTGGAGCGGCGTGGTAAGGTCAGTGAAGCGTCAGTAGCATTGCGATTTGCGATGCGGTACATAGATTGGCAGGGGAGACAGAATGGGATGGACTATGGTCAGGTCTGGACAGAAAAATTAAGTTTGCTGGCCTCTTATCCGAACCGTTCTACCCAGGGTAGACGTGATCTAGATTGTTACGTTAGGTCGAGTTGCTCATGCGTTGTTTGCTCGAGTCTAGCACGTCGCCTCCTTTTCTTGCAAATACTGCCATCCTCCTCTCTCTGCGGCTGGAGTACAGCAGTCGTAGTCCTCCAGGGCTCATAAACTCCCCACACCGTTCCATGATCAACAATCGATCTACAAGCAGACCTACACATAGACAGACTTCCGAAACCCCCCTTCCCAAAGCATGGGAAGGTGCAAGCGGGACAGTCCAATCATAGAAAGATGTGCGTCTGCTATATAGATTCCGCGGAGGCACGAGGGGCCCCTCATTGCGGAGAAGGCACATATTCACATATTGCA